TGAGTTTACATTTGTTCTGCCAGTGAGTACAACCCAAGCTGTTACATCCGTTTAGACTGAAGTGCAACCCTAGGAAAACAGTCTGCCTGTTAACTGCTAGAATAGTAAATCACTTAGTTGTCAAATGAGAACTCAGAAGTTTGAATTTAATTTGAGCCATTTTATTACTGCCTTTTGCTTTCCTTTTTGGTGGGCAGATAACTGGTTTTCTTTCTAGAGCAGTTTGTACTGTTTGCCCTGAAATTAAACTTCAGTTTCTGAAATAAATTGAGCAGATCTAATTAAAAATAGGAATGTAAGCTGAAGACAGCAAAATAGCAAACTACTGTTAAGTTATGCAGTGTGTAAGATAAAATTTGAAGCTAATCTTTTCCATTTTAATAATCAGTAATATCTTGGTGTTCTTTGAGTATTTCATTGGTAAAATGAGTCCTTGACTTTCATTGGTGTACTGCTCCTGGCGTTCCCTTCTTGAGGTGTCGTTTTCTTACTACCATTTTAGAAGAAAGATTCTATTATGAAGAAAACTGTATCCTTACAGTATCATTTTCATTCCTTATTGGACATTTGTCCCACTCTATGTATGTACAACTCTTGGTGTGTTTATACTAACATTTTGGACTGATTTAATAGAATCATAGAATGGTTTGGGTTGGAAGGGACCTTAAAGATGACCTAGTTCCAACCCCCCTGCCATGGGCAGGGACACCTCCCACTAGACCAGGTTGCTCAAAGCCCCATCCAACCTGACCTCCTTCCAGGGAGGGGGCAACCACAGCTTCTCTGGGCAACCTGTTCTAGTGCCTCAGCACCCTCACAGTAGATAATTTCTTTCTAATATCTGATCTAAATCTCCCCTCTTTCTCTTTGAAACCACTACTTCTTGTCCTGTCCCTCCCCATCTTTCCTGTAGGTGCCCTTTAAGTACTGGAAGGCTGCTAGAAGGGCTTATTCTCTTCTCCAGGCTGAACAACCCCAACTCTCTCAGCCTATCCTCATAGGGGAGGTGCTCCAGCCCCCTGAGCATCTTTGTGCCCCTCCTCTTTCTTACACTGGGGACCCCAGAGCTGAATGCAGCACTGCAGGTGGGGTCTCACCAGAGTGAAGCAGAATCCCCTCCCTCGCCCTGCTGGCCACGCTGCTCCTGATGCAGCCCAGGATGCGATTGGCTTTCTGGGCTGCGAGCGCACGTTGCTGGCTCATATTCAGTTTTTCATCCACCAGCGCCCCCAAGCCCTTCTCCTCAGGGCTGCTCTCGATCCACCCGTCACCCAGCCTGTATCTGTGCTTGGGATTGCCCCGACCCAGGTGCAGGACCTTGCACTTGGCCTTGTGGAACTCCATGATGTTTGCACAGGCCCACCTCCCCAGCCTGCCAAGGTCCCTCTGGATGGCCTCCCTCCCATCCAGCATGTCAACTGCAACACACAGCTTGGTGTCATCGGCAAACTTGCTGAGGGTGCACTCGATCCCACTGTCTGTCATGCCAACAAAGATGTTAAACAGCAACAGTCCCAATATCAACCCCAGAGGAACGCAACTCACCACTGGTCTCCATGCGGGCATCAAGCCATTGACCACAACCCTTTGAGTGTGACCATCCAGCCAATTCCTTATCCACTGAGTGGTCAATCCATCAAATCTTTCTCTCAAATTTAAGGCAAAGATGTCATGCAGGACAGTGTCGTTTCATTTCCATGAAATTTTGTGTGAATGGTAACTTTGAGAAAAAGGTGAAAGCTTCTATACATTGGGACGATTATCCTGTGAATCAAACATTCCAAAACAGCATGGGCTTTGCTGTCCTGGATAGGCAATATGGTAGGAGAGGAGGACAGGGGAGGAAATGAGGCTTTGTAAGCTTTTTTGCTCAATAGAGCTACTTGTTTACTGGTATAAAACATTGATTTTGGGGGACATAATAAGTGTGTAATTGGGCAGTTGGGTGGTAGAGTGATCAGGCTGCATTTTCTTTGTTTTGGCAAAGCACTGTGCATTCCACTTAGTATGTTACAAATTTCTGGAAAGTGTTACTGCGCAGTTGGTGTATTCTCTGAGGCCGTTGCTCTGCTAGAAAAATTGCAAGTTTTTATGCTTTTAGTTGCTTGTGGAAGGCAGCTGTATTTTATTTCAATACAGCAGGCCACATAAAAATGCACTGAAGAAAAATTGTTATTTGTCATATACATGTGGTAAATAAAAACGGCCATGATGGGCTGTATGTTGCTGTTAGGTTTTCTCTGTTGAGAAACGATTAGTGTCTGTCGGTTGGGCTGTATTTGTTCTGTTGAGGAAGTTCAGGTTCTAATATTGTCTGTAGTTTCGTGAATTTGTGTTAGCCAGGAGGTGAAACGTGAAGTCATAGAGCAGTATGTGTGGAGTTGAAATGAGTTGAATGAACTTCCTTGCTTTTCTGCTGCCCAGTGTTTCTTTCCGTGTATCTGGTTTCTGGGCACAGAAAAAAAAGACTCTTGTAGAGCCCTTCCTGAATCCCTGTTCCCTCTGGAAGGAGCAAAGGGGCAGACTGCCTTTGAGTTCCAGTTACAGCGCTCGTTAGTGCTAGGGAGCATTTTTCATGCTTCCTGCCCAGCTGGTGAGCATTTGTAAACTTTCCTTTGTATTATCTGCTCTGACACTTCTTTTTATGGACAAAAGGAGAGTTAGGATATTAAGACGGTATTTGACTGACTGAAAAGGAAACATAAATGCTCTGTGTTGGACTGTGTAAAGTTAGTTATTGTATAATGCAATACTATACTATACTACTGCAGCTACTGTAATTTTACTGTTTGTGCCTGGCTAAAATCTCAGTGTGAGTAGAGGTGTGTGAACTTGTTTACTGACTAATTTCTCAGTGTATGTTTGTTTGTAGAGCATGAAAAATAGATTTTTTTTTTTTTTTTTTTTCCTGTTTGCTGATCTGGATTGTAGATTATCTGTTGAAGATGACTCTATAATGTGTTCTGATTTGTGCATTTCAGTTGGAGACTTTATGTTTATGATACTGTATAATGTTATGAGCCAAAAAGAGTTTGTTTTAATTAGGCTAAAACACTTGGATGCCAGAGGATTGCGTGGAATCCACGGTGATGTATTTAGTAGCAAGAAAATTTATTTTAGCTGGTTACAAATGGATGCTGTAGTTGCTAGTAGAGATGTATAGCTTTTGGGAAGGAAAGAGTTTGAGCTTGTTCTTGAAAGGCAGCAGGGGAGAAGGGTAAGAAATCAGTTGCTTTATTAGAGCAGTCAGATCCTTAGCTAACTCAGAATTTCAGGTTTTCTTAATTTCAGAGTTGAAGTGGTGTTAATGGAGACATTAATTAAATGTGATAATTCCTAGAGAAAGTTTGCTACGTTGCAAAATGGAATATTCTTATTTCACCCTATGTTATATCTGTTTTCCAAGTTCAGTGTCGTGTTGAACTTTTGTTGCAGTTCAAACTGTCTTGGATGCAGCAGTTTGGATCTGGAAACTACTTAGAAAAAACATTAAAGTGAGTCTTGGCATGGTAGAATCTCAAATCTGTAGTAGGCATTAAGTCACGGCCTGTTTTTTGAATTGTCCCAGAACCATGCTTTTTGTGCTGTGGTGATTTTCATGTATCAGTGAGGAAGATGTGGTTTTTATTTGAAAGACTTGAAGATAGTTGATGATTTAACCTTGACTCTGACCTGTCCTATGACCTGTTCATCACTAGAGATAGTGTTAGTGAGGGCTTGCTCAAGTGGTTGTGCCACTGCAGTTGCATAAAACTATAGTGCTGATGCCCTTCTTGGCCCTCTTCCAGTTAGGAATAGCTCTTTCCCAATTTAACTGCTTTCACAATAATGATTAAGCTGAGGAAAGTCACAGTAATGGTGCAGTAAACATTTCCATGAGGAGTTCTGTAACTGAATTGGAGGATTTATAACACAATATGAATTTCGCTATGGTGCATCAAAGATGCATATTTGCAATTGCTAAATCTTAAGGTATGCTAATAAGCATTTTAAAACCAAGTCTTTTTGTCCCTCGTGAAGAAAGTGGGACTAGTAAGGAAGGTCTAATTGTAAGAGGAAGGGGTGAGAAGTGCTGTAAGGGAACAACTCAAGGGACAGTAGTGTATGGTCTACCTTACCAGGCCTGTTTCTGGGATATGGACTAATCTTAGTGATCCTGTTCTTATGATCTACTTTGCCAGGCGTGCAGCTGGGAGACACAGAGCTGATTTCAAGTCACAGCCACCTTAAAATGGCTCAGGGTTAGGCTTTGCTAATGGTGAAAGCTAGCATACAAGTAAGGGGAACCCCACCTTCCTTTTGGAGGTAGACCTTCACTTGTGGATTGCTCTCTACATACCATTTTAACTTGGTGGCCTTTTAAAGACCTCTAGCAACTTCCCCTGGCAACCTGAGCTGGCAATGCTTGCTTGGCTGGGTTGTCAGAGTTCCTAGGTGACTGCTGTGCAAGTATGTACCTTTTTATGTTGAGGCAGCAAAGTTTTAGTACGTAGTTAATTTGGTGATACAGTTTTGGTGTTTACGTATGGCCTTTAAGCCCTTAACTTGTATGTAGTAGCTAAAACTCTTGTTCTCCAGAGCATCATCTGCTTCTGTCTTGCAAGCTTCCCAACATGAATTTGGCAGCACTTTCATATGCTCATTCCCTTGAAGTTCGGGTACTGATCCAAATGTAAAGCGGTATTAAGCATAAAATAAAATGGAGGTACGGGTGTGAACCTGCACATGTAATTATGCTTTGTAATTATCCTAGACACCATTGGGTATGTATTTGTGGTTGGCCCTTGTAAGAAGCCCATGTAGCTTGTCCTGGTGACCTGAGGCAATTGATACTGCTGGAGCAGCCATGCTCAGATGTTTTTATGCAGCTGAGGCCAGCTCAAGTGTGGCAACATCCCTGGTTCAGGGCAAGCCCATGGCTGTGCGGCCTGGGAGCTCTGCTAGGAGGACTGCAGCTCAGCGCAGAGAGGCCCAGGGGCTCCTTGTGAAAAACCTGCGGCATGGGAGGCGTTTCTGCTATCGGGGCCAGCGGTAGGTGGGTGTGACTGCTGCCACTGCTCTGATACTTGCTCCCAGGCGCTTTGTGACGCAGTACTGGGGTGCAGAACCAGGGCGGCAGGGAGCAGTGTGAAATGGTGGGGGGGTGCTGCTGAACTGTTAGACCATGTAGGGGCTGAAAGTCTGCTCAGGGAGTTTGAGGGGTTTATTTATGGGTTGGATAGAATTGGCTTTAAAGGATTTTATTGATTTAATCCATATGTTGTTGGCTCTTATTCGTGTTTGGAAAATGCATGTTAGATTCACTGTGGTGATGTATTTAGACCACTACAGTATTTAAAAATCACCAACTACATCTTGAGTATGCTGAACAAAGTTTAGTTTTATTGCATCCCTGGTAAGGGATTACAGTAAATTAACTACATTGGTGTTTTCTGGAGTTTTGAAGTGACTAATACCAAACTGTTCAAACAAGCCATCTGGTACATTTTCATCTTGTTTTTACTTTTTAAAAGTGAGATGATTTTACTTCATAGTAGAAATGAACTAATATGTCTAATATGTCTAATAACAACCTATAGAAATACATGAAGAAATATTAATGATTTTATCTCAGAGTTTGGGATGGATGTAGTAAATAAATAGACTATTAACAGAATGATTAATATGAAAATATTAAATGGCTATCTCACTCCATAGTCAGTGTCTAAAAAAATTAAGACTGTTGGTGTGGCTGATTGAGGAGTACAGTCTTGCGATAATAATACAGTTCTTGCGTACATTTAGGAGAATTAAATGCGTCTATTTTTATAAGTGTCTATTAAAGTCTTAAGTTCTTGAATTTTCTAATGTGCCTAGCATGTAAAGTCACATCATACACTAGAAGCTCAATGGTTTTGTTGTTGCTCATGTCCATCACAAGCATGTGATGTGAGTATTGTTTTGATGAGCTTAAGTTACCCCCATGGTAAGTCATTCCACCTGGCGCTGAGCATGCAAGATACTTTTGGTGTAGCACTAATTGTCTTGCTTTTGGAAGGCTGTATTTGAGGACTTTCTCTTTTTTTTTTTCTTTTAAATCTCCAGGTCTTCAAAGAGAATGATATATGGTGTTAGCCAAAATAGTGTAGGAAAAGGTTCAGAGCTACTGATGGTTCAGATTGCAATAACTCATGTGTGTGCAAATCAGCCTTTAACCTTTGTAGGGTGCTAAACAGATTAGTCATGGTGTACCTCTGCTTTTGTGAGGGACTGTTTTTCTAACCTGCTGCATTAGTGGTGGGGAGGAAGAAGTTTGAAATAGTAATTTTGTCAACACTTGTGTAGTCAGAAGGCTCAGAAGATTCTGCAGCATAATATGTAATTTAGTCATCTTATGCATGCGTCGCTCAGGAGACTTAAAAAAAAAAAAAGTACTTGTTTTAATAGCTCCATTTGCTCCCACCTGTCAATCCAGGATCAGTGGACTGTTTATTGTAGTTGCCCGTAAGATACAGTCTTTGCCATTTGCAAAGCACTTTGACTTCAGTTTAGGTTGCTGTACAGTATGTGAAGCCAGTGGTACCTGATGTAGTATCCCATGGTATTTAGAGACTTCTTTGTTGACAGAGGTAAAATAAAAACAGGGAGAGTGTTGGATTTGGAATATCTAGGTTTTCCCCTGAAATGTGTAAGAAAATGTTTTTTTCTTTGTTTGGTGTGATTTATGCGAACATTTAAAACTCAGGAAGAGAAGTCATATAAAGAAGAATGGAAGAGTTTTCACCTGCTTAGAAATTTTCCAGGAATGGGACACCTTAGAAGCAAGAACTTTAAAATAAGATTGTGAAGGGTTTAACAGATGGCCTTGTTTCATTTCAGGTGTAATTGGCGAGTTTAGCTTAGGCTCAAAAGCAGATGTAAAAGATGTTGAGAACTATCTCCCTTCTCATTTCCTAGCTGTTCTTTTGTGTTCAAGTGTTTTCATGGGGAGGAAGAAAACCAGGTTACCTTGAGAAGCAGTTGTTAGGGAGGCAAGAAGCAGGTGAGGGTTTGGGAAATGCTGCTTTTGTTATTCTAGATGTTGACACCTATACTACAGAGACTGAGGTGCAGGAAAATTAATTTAATCTATGTGCATGAACAGAAATAGTTACCTGGAGCCAGTTACAAGTAGTCTTAAAAGGGTTAAAAAACCAGCATTGATCTGGTGAACTTGAAACCTGATTTTGTGTATGTAACTCTGTAGGCTGTTGATAAACCCATTTAAACTTTCTGACTTAATATTGAGGAGAAAATGTCTCTTAATTTCTGAATTGACATGTTAGGGCTCTTCCAACCATCAAAAAATATGAAGGCTGCTAGTTGTTTGTAGTGGAATGAAGTTTGAATCAGGCTAGTGAAGGGACGTCCTGTGTTATTGTAACTAGGTATGCAAAGTGAGCTTTACACTGTGTGAAAAAGAAATATGTGTATGGTCTCTTGATATACTTCTGCATCTGAAGTATGCTGTGGTCTGGGCTGTGGAGAACTTGGCTTCTTCCCTTCCCCTTCCTTTCCTTTTCCACCTCCTTAGAATGCGTATGGTTGATTTCTTTGAAAACATACATGGTGAACAGTGTTTCTTTTTTTCCTTTAGGGACCAGTTACTCTCCACAAGAAAATTCACATAACCACAGTGCTCTTCATAGTTCAAATTCACATTCTTCTAATCCCAGCAATAATCCAAGCAAAACTTCTGATGCAGTGAGTATTTGTGATCGGTGTTCATCCCTGTGTCACCCCATTCGTACACACTCTGCTTTCATCATTTTGTCTAAAACAGGCGGCATGTACATTACCTGCTTCCTTGAGTTTTCCAGCATCAGTCTTTATTTTATGAACACTCTGTAAACCCAAGCTGCAGTTGTTACATGTTGTGAAACTATTCTGTTGATAGTCATTAGAGCTTTGAGGTGCCTGTCTTGAATTTTAAAATACTAGATTATTTAAATGAAGTAGATAAATAGAAAGAAATATTTTCCATGAAATATGGTAAATCTAGAGAAGATGGTCTGATTTTACTTAAGATGCATTATCCATTGTGAATTTTAGTCACTTCGTTATCCAAGTTTTAGTGGTTAGAGTGGTGCTTGTTAAAAATTGCACTGAAAACAGATAAATTTGTGAAGTATAGAAAAATTTTGAAAAGATTATTAAAAATTTCTGAGGAAGTTTTAAGGTGCAGAAAACTAATGTTACCAATATTGATATTACTGTGTCCCACTAAAAATACTGTTAGATTTTTGTTTGGGAGTTGATGGAATAAAGCAGAGGAAACCATTGTAGAATGCAACAGGAGCATAGTGGTCACATCTTTATCAAAATGAAAAGGGCATTTAGAGATGGTGTAAATGGAAGGAGTGATATGGGTGCATGTGAGGATGCCATGTGGCATTGAAAATGGTAGAAGCTTTTAAATTTGTATGCTAAGACTCTAAAGTAGTCTTTTGTCCAACGCTGTTTGTATTTTAAAGGCTTATGATTCTGCGGATGATTGGTCTGAACACATCAGCTCTTCAGGCAAAAAATACTACTACAACTGCCGAACAGAAGTTTCACAATGGGAAAAACCAAAAGAGTGGCTGGAAAGGTATATGTGTGTTTGTTTTCACTGTATAAAGAACAAATATTCTTAAGCTCATTTAAGAGCAATTGAGCTTATCTAATTGATTGCTGCTATAAAAGATTGTGCCAAGACTACTGTGTTCCTACCCTTACCATGACCTCTGGCACCTCTTTTATCCCTTAATGATCCAGAGTGGGAGGGAGGGAAGTATGGTTGGTTTGGTTTTTTGGGCGTTTTGTTAGTGTTTTTCTCTTCTTTTTTTTTTAATGGGCTGGGGTTTTGGTTTGGTTTGGTTTTGGGGTTTTGCTTGCATTTTTTTGGCAGTGTTAGTGAGCTGAACTGGTATATTGGGGGCTTCAATAAGCCCTGCTGCAGGGAAGCAATGGCTGGGGTTTGCCTACCCTGTCTGTAGCAGCATACTCTTAGGATAGTTTAATTCATCTCATGTAACTTTATCCGTAGAAAGTGTTATAAGATGGTGTAAGTTCTGACTCAACTTGTGTTTTCTTTTCTTCAGAGAGCAGAGACAAAAAGAAGCAAGCAAAATGTCGGTTAACAGTTTTCCGAAAGATAGGGATTACAGAAGAGAGGTGATGCAGGCGACAGCTGCCAGTGGGTTTGCCAGTGGAAGTACGTGGGTTTTTTACAGTAATATATTCTTGCCTTGTTTGCATTACTGTTTTCTTTTCCAAACTTAAAAAAAAATAAATTTAAAAATACCTTTCCTTAGCTGTTTTTCTCAACTTTTTATATAAAAAGGCCAAAGCGCATAGCCCAGGCAGCTCTCCCAAATGTTGTTTCTTAAAATAACTTTGAGCCTTTACTAGTAAGCTTGCTTAATGCTTTTCATGGTACTCCTCCTTTTTGCAACTTTTACTGCCTAATTTAATTATAGGTAGTTATTGAAACAACTTGCACAGTTTATGGTATAGTTGGACTGTCACGGTCATTAAGACCTGTCAATATCAAATGCTGAGCTTAAAAATTGAGATGCAGAAGTCTCTTCTAAAACCTTGATTTGACATCTGAAAATAATAAGCTAATTTAATGGATTATGATATCAGGGTTTTCAGAGGCTTGTGTACATTATTGAAAGCATATTTTTACCATGCCAGTACTCGTAGCAAAGCCTTTCCTGGACTATGAATTTCTGTTAGTTGGAAATTTTTTTCCTGATTTCTAGCTCTAATCTTTGTCAGTTTTTTTTCTGGAAAATGGTTGTACTGTGGTATTCCTTCTGTATGCCTATGTAGTTTGGGTGAATTTGTAGCGTAGTTCTCAGGGTGGTTTAAAAGTAGAAGCCAAAGTATTAATCTTCTCCCCTGCCCCTACTTGCTTGGGACTTGCCAAGGCAGAGATGTATAAAGGGCTGTTTTTCTGTGTATGCTGAAACATACTGCATATGGTAAAACATACTGTAATGCTGCAAAAAGGTAGCAGAAATGCATATCACAGTAACTCTTTGTTTTGTGACAGGTGAAGGTCTGGGAATTACTCTAGATTTGCTTGGTATGTTCCCTGTGTAGCATATTTTAAAGTCTATGATTGTGTGACAAATGCAGATTAGTCACTCATTCAATATGTAGTCGTCTTGAATTAATTCAGTTGAAAGTAAATTCTTTGTAGTAGTACTCAAATGACTTGAAATGGAATTCTTTGAAGGCTGGAATTTGAAACTATTAAATTATACTGGATGTTCAGGATTGTCAATGAACAAAAAAAGCCACTAATTATCTCTTCATGCTAAATATAAGATGGAAATAATAGATTTTGATTTAGATTTTTTTAGGAGACTTCATAAGTTAACTTGACTGTAACACTTGTTATAAAGCAGACTTTCATCAAAACACAGTGCTTAACCAGAACTCTAAATCAAGCAAAGGTCAGAGAAAATGCATTTTGTCAGTGAGTAAAATTAAATTTTGCCTTTTTGATGCTGATCTACTCGAGGCGTTTTTTAATTGTAAGAAGTTCAATCGGCTCTAGTTATTGATGTGGAGCTGTATTATTCGAAGTCACTGCAATCTTAGACAAGTTTCTAATTCAATCTTTTCTTTTATTGCAACATTACTTGGTGAATCCTGAAAAAAGTGGAAGACAAGCATTCCAGTGACGCCAGTAGTATGCTCCCGCAGAATATTTTGTCTCAAACAAGCAGGCACAATGACAGAGACTACAGACTGCCAAGAGCAGAGACTCACAGTAGTTCTACTCCAGTACAGCATCCCATCAAACCAGTGGTTCATCCAACTGCTACCCCAAGCACTGTTCCTCCTAGTCCATTTTCTCTACAATCTGATCACCAGCCAAAGAAATCCTTCGATGCTAATGGAGCATCCACTTTATCAAAACTGCCTACATCCACATCTTCCATCCCTGCACAGAAAACAGAGAGAAAAGGTATGTCTAGTGAAATTTCTTCTAGTATTTAAGATGACGCATTGTATTTTCATTGCTTGTTGAAAGTATGTTAGTTCTCTAGAAAGATACTTTTCCTGTTGATTGTGTGTACTTAGAACCCGATTACTATTTTGATGTGTTTATTTCCGCTTAAACCGCATATGCTGTATCTTACACAACTTTAAATTGATGCTGCAGTATTGGCTGTTTACTGGCTTACTTGGCAAATTGTAATTTCAAATTATAATTTAGTTTAGTATAGTTTAGTAGCACGTATTTTAATTTTTGTCCTCCGTCATGTAGTTTTGGATCTTTGCCGTTATTTGAGTTCTTAACACAGAAGTAGTTACATCATTTGAAAGTCGTTTTGGACCATTATATTTTCTGAACTGCTGTTACTGTTTGGAATGTCAGTGTCAAACTTTTCAATAAACACAAGTGCTATTCTTATAGAAAGAAAGACCGTTTTCTACATGTCTGTAACAGTTGTTCTTCTTGTTCGTTGTCTTGTGATGTACTGGATCTTCAGTTCTAAAGCTGCTGAAAGTTTGTATTTCTGTATGATACGTACCAGAAACATTTAGAGTCATCAAGTGAAGATCAGGACTTCACTTGTGTTGTTTCTGACCCTTTGAAAGTCTATATTTTAATTGGATTTACTTCATTATTAGTGAAGAGGAGCTCAACAAGATTGTGAGAATGGAGGTGTGTATTATTAGTGATAGTGTGATACTTTCATAGAATCATAGAGTCATTTAGGTTGGATAGGACTTCTAAGATCGAGTCCAACCGTTAACCCAGCACTGCCAAGCCCACCACTAATCCATGTCCCTAAGCACCACATCTACACGTCTTTTAAATACTTCCAGGGATGGTGACTCCACCACTTCCCTGGGCAGCCTGTTCAGTGCTTGACAACCCTTTTGGTGAAGAAATTTTTCCTAAAGTCCAATTTAAACCTCCCTGGTGCAACTTGAGACCATTTCCTCTCATCCTATCACTTGTCACTTGGAAGAAGAGACTGACCCCACCTCATTACAACCTCCTCTCAGGTAGTTGTAGACAGCGATATGGTCTTCCTTCAGGCTCCTCTTCTCTAGGCTAAACACCCCCAGTTCCCTCAGCTGCTCCTCATAAGACTTGTGCTCTAGACCCTTCTTAGAGAGTAACCTTGTGTAACAAAATTCTATTTTGGGGGCTTTGGGAGGGGAAAAATTAATTTTTGGTAAACATGTCTGTTTTTACTTTAAAATATTGCTTAATTAATATGACACTGAATTCTTTTTTTGAAAGATGGCTTGTTGCCCTGTTGATATTTACAAGTCTGTCTAGTTACAGAAGAATAATGTAGTGATAAAAAGAAGACCAAAAAGACTCAAGTCTGATATTGGTCTTACACTCTGTTTGTTTTTGTTCTTTCCAGTTTTCTTTATTAAAGAATTCCAGCTTTTACACAGAGATAAGTGCACTTGGCCATCCAAAATATCCAAACAATACCATACATTGGCAAATACTGCAATGTAAGAAACTTGTGCATGTAAAAAAATTTTGTATGTTTTTCTTGAGGCTTTGTGCAATTTTTACATGATATGATACATGAATGTTGACTATAAACTACAGAGGAAGATAAGATTTTCAGCATGGCTTTTTCTATTCAACACAGTAAAACAAGAAGTAAGGTGTACTAATTTATGCACAGTTTTTGTACTGAATACCATAGTTTCCTGCTTTGGTTCAGCCTCTATGTTTTGATTGCAGTTTGATGCACTTTTAAACAGAACAGTGCAAAACATCCATGTCAAGTGTTCTTTCCTTTGGTGTATCCTCTCTATTTTCATTGCTATCTTTAAAATGTACTTAATATAAGAAAACCCTTACTCTGTTACTCACTTCTGGCATGTACTTGATTCCTGTTTGGTATGTGATCAGACTTCAAACTGGACATATTTTTTCCCTGTTCTACTGCATAACTTTATTAGTTGCTTCCAATTAAACTGAGCAACTGAATCTCACTGTGGTTGAAGAAATTTCCCATCGTGACAACCGCTACAAATGTTGACAGGGAGTTCTAGTATTTCTTGTGTATGACATTCATTTGAGAACATACAGTTGGGTATGAATAGTGAAACTGATCGCTCAGGGAGGTCTTGGCACTATAAATCTTACTTTAGAATCCATGCTAACGATCAATGGTTCCATATTAAATAATCACTTAATTTCTGTATTCCTATGTAGTTTAAGTTTGTATGGATTAAATGGATAGATTATCTGTAATACTCTTGCCTCATTGATGTGAGTGTTTCATGGTGCTTCATTGTGAGCAAATACACTTCCCGAGCTTTGGACAGGGTGGATTACAGAAAGTTAGTAACTAACTGAGGAATTAGAATAGGGGAATGTTTGGCTTGAAATACTTATTCCAGAAAAATGTGAGTTTTCATATGTTGCTTGAATACCCTTCTTACAGAAACATAAAAATTTAGTGCAGCTTATATTAAGATAAGAGATTGTTCAAAGAGTGTATTCAGTAGTCTGGCCTTTTTTTGGTGAATGTTGGACTTCCTTTTGTTTTTTTAATAAGAAGTGTGACCAGTGTAATTTCTGTAGCATTTCACATATTCAAATGTAAAAGAAGGAAGGAAGCAGTGCTGTACGTTGAATAGTTTACTTCTGTTACTCGTTTTGCCAGAGGTGACTGTGAACCTGTAGTACTAAATGGTATGCAGTGTTTGAAAGTTATTTGTAGCTGTTAAACAAAAGTGGTGAAAAAAAAATTGTCCTGAGACACTCAGTTCAATCAGTCTTCTAAAAGTACCTTTGTAAAGCTGGAAAATAGTTTAAGGGGTTTATTTTTACACTAGTAAAGCAAACAGCCTTTGATCTTTTTCTGTTTACTAGCTGTGCCATCCCTCTCTAAGAAGAGTTGTATTTTTTTGTTTATACGAATAGCTTGGTCCAAATGACTGAATAGTATGTGCATAGTAGTCCTTGCCTAAATGAGCTCTTGCTTCTTGTCAATGTATTGCTGGCAGCCTTATGCCAGCATGTATGTACCACTGTTTTAATAGTTCTGTTCTGTTAGTGTGTATTTTTTAATGCAGTAACAGTTGTGAAAAACAAAACAACAAAAACCAACAACAACACTTTTTTCAGCTCAATCTCTTTTGCTGCAGGGGTATGTTGTAGTCCCACAAGGAGTTTGAATAAAATCCCTGGCTGAACTATAGCTCAGCTGTTAGCAGTAGTCCTCTGCCCTCAATGGCTGGCAGTAGTGGAGAGTTCCTGGGGAACTATTTGACCTCTACCCTTTGGTTTGAATGTTCCAGTCAGAATCTGCTGCTTCTGTTTGTGCTCACTGTGAGTGCTTTATGCAGGTAAAGTGTGGGCTTGCTTTTCGTACTTTTTGGCTACTTTATCTGTAGGGCACATCACATTTACCTATTTCTGATTCAGTTACTGAATGAAATGTTGTGTTGTGCATATCTTAACAGTGTGTCTGTCTGTAGGATACTTCTCACACCTTTGCTCCAAGGCCCATCAGACAGCACTTCTGTTTCTAGTGCAGCAATACTTTGAAATTTTTCTGAGAGAACTCGTCAAGCTGGCCACTGCGATGCTGGGTGGGTTATGACCCTGGTGCTGACAGATTAAAGTGGTCAGTCAGTGACAGCGGAGCTTCTTCCTCATCCCTGTCTCACCCTGTGGTTTTCTTGTAACGCTTGCTAGTCTTTAGCAGTCAGTTGTTACCATTGCTGCTGGTATCGTCTCGTCATCTTTGGCTGAATTTTGCAGTTTTAAGTTTATTACTCAATTCATACAGTGGTTAGAAAAAAATTACACTAATGAGGCTGTTAGAGGTTTCTTCCAGTACTTTATACTTGTCTGCTGAGCATTGCTGTTACATTTATTTTGGCAGCAGAGACAAAATACAAAAAGTCTGTTTTAAGACTGGAGTAATCCAAATGAGAAAAATACGTTAATATTTGTATTTTAGATAATTTGAGCGTTTTTGAGAACCCAGTTACTGTTGCTGCCATAGTTTTGTTTGGCAAAATATGTTTACAAAATGCATTGCTTTTGAATGTTTATATATTTTGGTGTGGCTTAAGGTCCTTAGTAGATCAGAACTGAACTTTGTAAAAAAAGGTAAATGTGGCTGTCATTGCCCAGAGAACTTAGTTGGTCAACTGTACGTTTAAGGTAGTGCAACACAGGTGAATGTGTTATGATTCTTAATCATCAGCAGTAAATCAGGCAGTTCAATTAGCTGTTCTAGGTGGTAGTTGTTTCATCAGTATAACAGAGGTGAGGTCTTTGGGGCAATAAGGCACTGAATTTCTGAAAATTTTCCTCCTACAGAGAGCACGCTGTGGGAGCACTTGTGCCTGACTTGCTAGCAGAGCAAAGATACAGCTCAAGCTTACAGAAGAGTGATTGGGTAATATTGTAGCGCTGAATCTGAAGAACTTTGAATGCATGGGGTTTGTTTTAAATGGCACTAAAAAATTACATCAGTAGTAAAAGCTATTGGAACACTCAAAGGATTACATTGATAATTTGGGAATTATCCAGTCAACAGTAGTGGGTAATTTCCATGTCATTAAAAAACCCAACCTTTGTTGAAATAAATCCACTGTCATATATGCAGCAGCAGAAGAGCAAGCTATATATAGCAGTATTTTAAAGCTGCTCATTGTATAGGGCATACTAGTATGTTCGTTGTCAGGAGGAGGGCTCTGAAGGAAGCTATTGCACAAAAAAATGCATTTCCTCTTTTTGTTTCTCCCCCCACACACTTCTCTGTCACACTAACATGCCTGAATAACGGCATACCGTGGACGGGAAGGGAGTGAGCAAGTACTAGGAACAGATACTTGAAGGACTCCAGCAGCTAGAACAGGCTGACTTGAGGCACAACAGAGATGTGGAAGTGTTGGTGTCAGGAGCTTTTCATTGAAACTGAGTAGCTGAACAGTCAAAAGATTTAAGTTTTCACCCCC